TTTAAGGGGAATATCTCTTGATAATTTGACTCTTGATAATGTACAACTTTTCCAGAAAAGTAAAAACAATGAAAATCAAAGTTCCTTTACTTTCCTCAACCAGAAAAGACGCCACTAAATAGTGTTGATACCCAATTTTTTCCTCACATTTTTAAAATATACAAATATACTTCTAAAATAGTGCATATGCATCATCACTTGATTTTAAGACATATACAAACATTTTTCATAATTTTCTATAATTTAAAGGAGTTTTAAATCAATTTATTCCTATATTTTACTATATAAATATTCGCTAATTGCATCATAAATTATTTTATTTATCATTTAATTTCATCATTTACACCCAGATTAGGTTTTAAATACTTTAACATATTTATCATAAATACATTTGCATTTTTAAAGGCTAGAATTGTACATTTGCAATAATAGCCCATATATACTTATAATTTTCATATTCATGCAAAAAAAAAATTATATTTTTACAGTGTTGAATAATTATTGTTACTCATTTTTTATGCATAAATAATATTTTACTATTTTATTTGTCATTTTACAAATTATTTTATTAATTAAAAATGGGTATTAAAAACCTGGCATGATTTTATTTCAATTTTGGCCTTAATTTTGACCCAATACCCAGCCCAATCTCAACCTAAACCTACCCAGCCCAAAACTAAACGCCCTACCCGGCCCCAATCTCATTTAATTTCGGTCGTTGATCATAGAGATCAACGGCCACAATTGGCCCCTTCCTTTTTTTAGTCCCAAACGACCCCCCAAACCCTCTCATTTCTCACCAACCGCCGCCCTGAAATCCCTTTCCTCTCAAAAGCTCTCAAACCCTAACCCTAATTTACCCACATCGCCGGTCATCTGCTGCCTTTCATGGTGTTTCCCCACCACCACCACCAGGCCTCTAATGGCCTCCCTCACGCTGGTCTTGCCATCTCTAAGGTCCTCGAGGGATCAGGGTCAGTACGCTTTCATCTCTGGCCCTTTCTCGCCTGTTTCAGACTGTTTCGGTTTGGTTCCAAGTAAGATCTCCCAATATCGTCATGAATCTAGGGGTTTCTAAGCTTGCTTCTTCATCTATGTGATTGTTCTTCAAGAAACCCTAATTTCTTCATTCTAAACTTCTTAGATCTGTACAGATCTGAGATGGTTTGAACCTATTTAATATGAGTTTTATAATAACCTTTTGATTCTTTACAAGAATTGTCTGATATTTTAATTATTTTTCATCTTTCTCTATACTAGGGTTTCCGAAATTTCTTTTTCCAAAACATTTGATGATTTGGGTGTTTAATCTTCTGTTTTTTATATGTTTTAACCGATTTTGTTAGGTTTTCTCTAACTTTAACTCGTTTACACTAAAAGCCCTAATTTTTTCGACTCCTTTGTTTGTTTTCTGAGTTACTTGTGTACTGCCTTTTTTCTTGCCTTGGTTCTTGTGATTTCTCTTTAGCCATTTAGATGTCTCGTGATTTTCTTATCCTAATATACCTCTACTAAGTTCTTGGTTCAACTTTTCTACTTATTATATATATCTATGTTTATTCTGACTATTCTTTTCTTGCTTTATTTAAGTTGTCTGCGATATTTGCTGACTCTTTACGTGATTTTCTCCTTAGTTAAAACCTTGATTATTCTGAAGTTCTTATTTTCAGTTTAAATTGAGCCCTTTTCCCTAACAAAGTCCTTGATTCTCATTACTATACTCAGTTTAATTCAACTTCTTGCCTTAATTAGTTTCCTCTTACCTTATTTGTTATTTACTGATTCGTGCTAACTATTTCCTTAATTGGACCCCTGTTCATTCACCCCTAATTGCCTTACTTGATTTCCTTCCTTAAAATATCTGTCATGCTCTTACCGTTGATTGATTATCCCTTGATTCAAGGGAAGACTTACTGATTTTACATGTGATTGATTCCATGAATTTTTCTAATTGCTACTTAATTGATCCCTTACCTTATTTTGTTTAACTCTTGATTACTATATAAAATCCCTCTTATTTTAACTGCTGGACACGAACAATATTTCAGAAACTATCACCTTACACTCTAAAAGGCTCTCTCTCTGCTCTCTTTGCTCTCTTTTCTACTTGTGATCTCTGTTATTCTAGTCGGCTGCAAGCCAAGGCTGGGAATTGCACAACACCTTGCTCACACCTTGTGTTTTCTTTCTTTATCTAGGTATACTTCTGATTAATTTTTAAGAATCAAAACCTATGTGTTTATGTACTACTTTAGTTTATATGACCTGATGTCCATTCTTGCTTCTGTTTACTGCTCACCCAGCTCAAATCTATGATCAACATGTTTCCACTATGCTTGCTTGCTTGCTGTCTTGTTTGACAGATCTACATATGTAACTAGGCCTGTTTGACTAACTACTATTTTTTCTAAACTTTGCTTCTATATAATTAGCATGCCTTCATTTGTTAATATTTGTTTAGCATGCCCATCTAAGTCTTTGTATGTTCTGCCTCACTCCTGTTAAGTTAATTACTCTCCCTAGAATGGCTTCAACATGCTTCTACTGTAATCTTTGCTGCATTCTACCTAACCTACTAGTTCTATAGAACGCTTCAAACTCTATTTATCTTGTTGTTTGTGTGTTCCATTGAGGTGTATTCTCTATGTTCCCAACCCCTCTTCCCTTGTGTGAAAGTTGTTCCTAAAGCTTGTTTTGTTCTATGACTTGTGCTCTGATTGCAAATTATTTCTTTACACTTTCCTCAAACTGTTTTATCACCAAAATCAGCACTGTTTTTTTTCAGAAATTCTTTTCAATCTTAAGACCTTTCTTTATATTATCTATTAAACTCTTTCAAACCATTATGCACTTCCACTTACTCTTAGAATACTAGGTCTTGTCCCTCTAATATGTGTACTGCCTTGAGACCCTTAAGATCTCTCTGAACTCTGGCATGTCAGGGCTGGCATTTCCACACTACACCTAATTCAGTTATTATTTGAGAAGGGTCTAGGTGTGAGCACTGCCCAGGATCCTTAAGGTCCTTAGGGAACTCTGACACACCTAGGCATGAATTTGGCTATGGAACTTTGGCATTTGAGACTACTGGAGGCTTGGAAATCATTTGGGACTACCTCAAGCTCCCTATAGATTAATTTTCTGTCTATTTATGTATTTTTCAATTCATTAGTCTGTAATAATTAATTGTAAACAAACAGTGGGGTGATTAGTGAAAAAAGGGAGGGTAGTTGTATATTGTATGTAAAATTGGGTAGATACCATGCCTATAAGGTCTTTATTGATTCAAATGTGTTTGTTAGATAACATGCCTATAGGATCTGCTTCGGTTTAAAATAAGTTCTGGTTGCTTTACTTCCACACAATTAGAAGTCATGCCTATAGGATCTAAACTGGCTTTAATAATAGAGATCATACTTATAGGGTTAAAATCAGCTCTGATAAAAATTATCCCTATAGGGGTTTCACTTTGGTTAAATGAATGATGTTTGTTTCACCTTATGTTGAACTAGAAATCATGCCTATAGGACTTAAAACCAGTTTAGTTAGAAAAACAGTTTAATTCATGTTAGTTTATTCTGAATCAGTTTAATTTACTAATTTGTCCGCTTCCTTAATAAGTTTTCAAATGCTGCCTTAATTAATATTGCTAGAAAGCATGCCTATAGGATCTCATATTGTCCGTTTAAAAATCGTTTACTGTTTTACTGCATTCCTGGTCAATAATAGATATCATGCTCATAGGACATTACTGTTATACGTTTAGGCAAGCTTGTAGGGCGATTAAAATTCTGCAAACAATAAAATTGCATCTTGTTATCTGTGACTGCTCATAATCAATGGGTCTAAAATCAGTAGGCAAGCTGAATAGGTCTTCGACACTTTGGTCCAAATTCAGTACTGCCCATTCTCTGCTCACCTAGATATCATGCTCTAAAGTTTTCTCTTAAATACTTGAAACTGTTGTTTGAGACGTGCACTTACTTGTTCGGTTTGTGGAGGTAATGTGAGCCTTTAATTGTTCCCTCTTTAAATGTAGTCCTAATTGTTTTGGTTGACCCGTAGATTTTATCCTTTAAATACCTTAGGATGGTCTAAAACTACCTAAATTAGAGGTCCTAAATACCTCCAGGGCCACAAGGAAGGGACAGGTAGTGCACGCATAGGGTATCTTTTAAGATTGCTAGAACGCTTTAGGTTGTGACCAAGGGGAGGGAATTGGGTAGTAAGGATATGATGACTACGCGCTAATGTCACGTGTATCCCCTCATTGAGGAGTGATTACAAGGCATTGTGTGGGTATGATCCTGTAGGCTAACCAACCTAGGACCCCTTTTCCCAACTCCCGGTGTTTAAATGAGTTTACTTTCTTTACATATGTGCAAATTGTTCAAACCCTTTTCCCTTACTTTCATTACTTGAACCATACATGTCAAAAACATGCCTTTATTTGCGAGTGTGTGTTAAAACTGTTTATTTATTAAAATGACTAATTCACATAGTTTATGTTCGGCCAGGACCCACCGTTGTGGACCCCGAGGGGCGCCTAACACCTTCCCCTCAAGGTTATTCGAGTCCTTATCCAAATCTCTGGTAATGCAAACTAGTTCATGAGTTAATTGATCTAGGTGCCCTAACACACCATAATCTGTTAGGTGACGACTCTTCAAATACCCAATTCCCAAAAGGAAACGAGTTATCTCCCCTGATGAATGTCGAAACCTGGACTTTTCCCGTCAAGAAGGGAAAAAAGGGGGCGCGACAAATAGCAGCAAGAGAAACTTCAGTTTGAGGTATAAAAACCCTCTTCTCAAAAATCATATCTTCTCCAATTCTCATCTTTTTTCTAGTCCAAAAATTTTGAGTTGTATCATAAAAAGAAAAAAAAATAGAATAGATTCCATAGATCGCAAATTAAGAAGAAGAGTACACATTAAACTAAATCAAAAGCTCAAAGTACCAGACATTGAGTAGAAATGAATTCAAAAGCGAGAACTCACCAGATTCTGAGGTTGAACACAGTGGAAGAGATCGAAGAATTGAACACCAGATGCAAGATCTTAGTTTAGCAAAATAATGAAAAGAGAAAACCTAGTTGCAGTGGAAACTAAGAAATTGGGGAAAACCGAAAAAGTAATAGAACGGGGAAAACTATTTTGGCACGTTTGTTTTGGCGAAAAACTATTTTGGCGTAAAATTTACTAAATTTTAGGCCACAACTAAAAGGGGTTGCAGAGAAAGTTTTGTGTTTAGCAACAACTTATATTTATTGTTGCCAATTATCTTTATATTTTATATTTATTATATTACTCCTAAGTTAAAAATTATATGATACAGCAACAATCTAATTTCATTGTTGTCATTTAGTAAACTTAGCCAACAACTATAATATTGTTGGTAAAAAGTCGTTGCTGGTTTATATATATTTAAAATTTATTATATTATTTGTTAAATATGGCAACAATATTAAAACTTTTGCTAACAAAAAAAAATTATGGGTAAAAATTCTATGATATAGCAACAACTAAATGAAGTTGTTGCCATTTATTATATTTTGCAACAATATTATTGTTATTGTAAAAAGATTGTTGCCAATTCTAAACTTTCTTGTAGTGAACAACCCTTGGCACGTTCGAGGACGAACGTGTGTTTAAATGGGGGAGGATGTAACGACCCGACCGGTTATTTTGAGCATTTGCACTTCGCTCGGTTGTTTGAGGGCATGAGAAGCTCTATATGATGTATTATGACTTACGTGAATCGTCGATTTTGGTTTTCAGGTTATTCGGAATTGATTTAGAAGAATGATTCTCAACTAGAAGTTTTAAATTGGAAAAGTTTGACCAAATTTGACTTTTTAGTAATTGACCTCGGATTGGATTTCTGATGGTTCCATTAGCTCCGTTAAGTGATTTTGGACTTAAAAGCGCGTCGAGATTGTGATTTGGAGGTCCGTAGTAAAGTTTGGCTTGAAACGGCGAAAGTTGGAATTTTGAAAAGTTTGACCGGGAGTGGACTTTTTGATATCGGGGTCGAATTTTGATTCCAGAAGTTGGAGTAGGTCCGTAATGTCAAATGTGACTTGTGTGCAAAATATGAGGTCAACCGGACGTGATTTGATAGGTTTCAGTATCGGTTGTGGAAGTTCGAAGTTTCAAGTTCATAGATTTTGAATTAAGGTGTGTTTCATCGTTTTAATATTGTTATGTGTGTTTTGAGGCCTCGTGTAGGTCCGTGTTATGTTATTAAACTTGTTGGTATGCTTGGATGGGGTCCCGAGGGGCTCGGGCGTGTTTCGGATTGATTTCGGGCTATTTTTCCTTTAGTTAGCGCTACTATGTTTTGCTGCTTTTCTGGTGTTTCAGCTATGCTTCACGATCGCGGATGGAGTATCGCATTCGCGGAGGGTAATTAGGCCAGTGCAGAGGTTTGTTCTTTGCGTTCGGTTTTCCTCAGTCGCATTCACATTGTGTTGATGCTGTGTTCTTTGCGTCCGGGTACATGGTTATGCGGTCGCGTAGTGTTGAGCGGAGGGGCTGGCAGTGTTCTTCATCGGGTTCGCGATGGTTCGACCATGAAATCGTAGTGTAAGGTGAAGCAGTGTGGAATTGAGCTTCACGAATGAGAGGCTTCTACCGCGTTCGCGAAAGAGGAGGCCGGACAGATTATATAATACTCTATTTCGAGGGTTTCGGCCATTTTTGCATTTTTGGAGCTATGGAGCTCGGATTGAGGCGATTCTTGGAGCAATTTTTACCATATGAATTGGGGTAAGTGTTCTCTACTCAGTTGATTATATTCCATGAATCTATCATCGATTTTAGCTTTTGGTTGATGAGTTTTAAAGAGGAAATTGAGGATTTTGGCCTAAAGTTTCATAATTTAAATTTTTGAGTTTTGAACACCGATTTGGAGTCGGATTTGAGTGAAACAAGTATGGTGGACTCGTAATTGAATGGGTTATATAATTTTGTGAGTTTTTTTGGATTTCGAGGTACGGGCCCGGGTGTATTATTGGCCGGATCTGGGATTTGATTTAGGATTCGATCTTTATCATTTAGAATTGTTCCCTTGGGCTTTAATTGATATATTTGAGTTGCTTTTGGCTAGTTTTGAGTCGTTCGGAGGTTGCTATGCACGTGATGGCATTTTTGGAACATCGATTGGCTTGCTCGGTATTGGAATTGGCTTGATCGAGGTAAGTAACTCTTCTAAACTTGGTGCTGAGAGTATGAAACCCCGAATTACATGCTATGTGATTGATGATGAGGTGATGCACATACTAGGTGACGAGAGTGTGGGCGTGCACCCTGTGAATTGGGATTCCGTTGTTTTCATAGCACTATTTAATGGCCCTATTTTGTTGATAGCTATGTTTTCACCATATGATTAAGTAACTGAGCTGTCAATCATGCTAGATATCATGTTTAGGTTTTATACTGATATTGTTAGGAACCATAGTGGTCATTTCTTGCTGTCATCTCTCTGGTTTCCATTAATATTTCGTACTCAATCATATTCATGCATTTATATCATATCTCAGTCTCAGTTATTATTTATTGGCACATCATATCATTATTCTGGGTTAGTCTTCATGACATTGTGAGCCTGTGGGTGAGACTGGAGAGAGTGATGACTGAGTGAGGCCGAGAGCCTAATTATGAGTGACAGTTATGGGATCGGGTTGCACGTCACAGTGATTATATTGATAATTATGATAGCGCTTGGGCTGCAGGAGCCCCTCCGGAGTATGTACACACCCTTAGTGAGCGCGGATGATATTATTGAGGGATGGATTTCTCTGGACATGGATTTGTTCGAAGTACTTGATACTTGGAGATGGATTTCTCCACAGGGTTGGATTGGCCTTTTTTTCTCGGTACTGGATGACTTATAGTCAGTGTTGTATATGTTCCGGGATGAATTTTCCTAAGTCGTATGGGCCATATACAGTAATGAGTGGTTGAGCGTGATAAGTGGAAAGAGTGAAATAGTGAGATTGAGTACTCTGAGAGCGTGGGTACATGATTTATCTCTGGGATACATGGCATTGGCATGCATATATGACATACATACATAGAGACGCATTTTCCTCATGCTGTACGGTATCACGTCATTCGTGATTTTTTACACACATTGATATGTGGTCATAGAGAGGTATTTCACACTTGCTATCTGGAAAAAAATAAAACATCTTATTTATTGTGAAAAGGATTTTTTAGATAAATTACAGTCTTCAAACTATCTCATATTTTACAACGATTTCGGTAGAGGATTTGAGTTTTCACTGATATTCTTAAAAAGCGGAACTATTTTCGGAAAACTGTGAAAAAGCTAAGCATTCTTATCTCTGAATTACTTCCTTATTTATATGCTCTACGTTATTATGAACTGTTATTAGTTATTGGTATTGGACCCGACCTATGTTCCAGCTCGTCACTACTTTCAACCTAAGGTTAGATTTGTTACTTACTCAGTACATGGGGTCAGTTGTACTGATACTACACTTCTGCATATTGCGTACAGATGTTGGCTGTTGTTGTTGTTGTGCTCGATGGTTGCCAGATTGGAAGATGTACATGCGTTCCGATTGTAGCTACCTATTGTTCATGGTAGCCTTAGATTCATACAAATCTGTTTATGTACATTTCAAACAGATGATGTATTTATTTCATACCAGCTTTATAAATTCTAATCTTAGAAGCTCATGATTTGTACTACCAGTCGTTGAGAAATGTATAAGATTCAGAGAATTCCTTGGTTTAATTGTCTTATTAATATTATTGAAATTAGATAGCTATCAGTTGGCTTACCTAACGGGTTAGGTTAGATGTCATCACGACTCCTGAATTTTGGATCATGACAGATTGCTACGTTTATCGTTACTGTTGCTAATCACATATCCATATCCCTATGATAATCAATTTCAACAAAAAAAAAATTTTAATTAAGTATTTTAGGCCATCTCCAACCTTACCCTCATTTTCCATAATGGGAGCAATTTTTGGGAAAATTTAGCTCCAACTCTCCCCCATTTTTGTCCCAAAAATGGGGGATGAATAGTGTTCTCTCATATATGAGGATACACTATTCATCTCTCTCATTACTATTCATCACTTTATTATTATTATTTTATTATTTAATCTTTTAATTTATCACTTTATATATACCTAATTGTGTTTATGTAATATCTTTATAATATTAATTTTACATCTTAACTTTGGTGTATAATTTTGATAAATTAATTTTTGTGCATTTATTATTTTTATGTAAAATTGTAAGTTAATTTTATTGTAAGTTATAATTGTACAAAAAATATATAATTATCTCAAAAAATGAATGGTCCAAATATAAAATATTAGATGTTGCTAAAATTGAAAGGTGCGAATATAAAATATCAGATGTTGCTAAAATTGAAAAGTGAAGATTGAAAATACATTAAATTAAAATACATTAAAATTGAAAATACATTAAATTAAAATACATAAAAATTGAAAATACGGTAAATAACATAATAACTTAGTAGGGAGCTATGTATGTCAATGATTTCATTTTTATTTGAATAATTAGTTAATCTATAATAATTGCTTACAAATTATATTATTTAAAATTTTATGGAATTGTTTTAATGGAAATTACAAATTAATAAAAATAAAACATGGAATTTGTTTAATGAAAATTAAAATGAAAGATAATAATATAATATAGAAGAGAGAGAAGAATATAAAAAGGTTTGGGAAAAAAAATAAGGGAATGGTTGAAATAAATTATCCCTAAAATGAGCAAATCCCTATTTTAGAGATAAAAAATGAAGTAAAGGTTGAAAATGCACTTAGTCAAAATTCCTCTTTGTGCAAACTAACCTAAGGTCCTATACTACCAAGGAAAAGAAGACAGAAGATACAATCCGACAATCATTTTCATTCCAAATATACTCCTCCCTGCTCTTTCAACCCTCATCTTCTCAAAATATGGTCCAAAACGTATAGACCTGCCTGTAACTCTTTTTCTTTTTTTGCTTTTACTTTTAAAATAGTTTATGTTTACTTTCACCAATACTATAACTCATAATATAGTTTAACGTGTGATAATATAATATACTATTTATTACCTATCCTTTATGTATATATAATTTCCTTGACTTCTTTTCTTATTTTTTTTTTTTTAAATTTGATACCTCTGCTATTGCTTGAAGGATGATTCA